CCTGCCTAGGCAGGAAACCCTATATCATTTCTGACAAATGGCAGTCCAATCTCTTCTTGAAAGTCTCAAGTTATGAAGCTCCCACAACTTCTGAAAGCAAGCTGTTCCATTGGTTGATTGTTCTCACTGTTAGAAAGTTCCTCCTTATGTCTAGGTTGAATCTCTCCTTGGCCAGTTTTCATCCATTATTCCTTGTCTGGCATTCCGGTATTTTGTAAAATAGCTTGACCCCTTCCTCTCTGGGGCAGCCCCTTAGATATTGGAACACTGTTGTCATGTCTCCTCTGCTCTTTCTCTTCACTAGGCTAGCCATGCCCAATTCCTGTAACTGTTCTTCATGTTTTAGTATCTAGTCCACTACTAATCCTGGTTGCTCTCCTCTGCCCTTTTTCTAGAGTCTCAACATCTTTTTTATAGTGTGGTGACCAAAACTGGATACAGTATTCTAGGTGTAGTCTTACTAAGGCTTTAGAGTGCTATTAGTACCTCACTTTATCTTGATGGTATCCCTCTGTTAATGCAATTTAGGATTGGCTTTTTTGGCTGCCGCTGCTGGCTCATATTTAATTGGTTGTCCACTAAGACTCTAAGATCCCTCTCACAATCACTGCTATTAAGCCTGGTTTCACCCAATTTATATATGTACTTTTGGTTTTTCTTACTTAAGTGTAGGACTTTAATTTTCTCTACATTGGGCCCAGTGTTCAAACCTGTCAAGATCCATCTGGATCTTGAGCCTATCTTCTAGGGTGTTAGCTATTCCTGTCAGCTTAATATCATCTGCAAATTTGGTAAGTTCCCCTTCTATACCCTTATCTAAGTCATTTATGAAGATGTTGAAGAGTACTGGGCCTAAGACGGAACCTTGTGGTACCCCACTGTTTACCTCTCTCCATGTAGACTTAGACTCATTAGGGAGTACTCATTGAGTACAGTTTGTCGGCCAGTTGCGAATCCATCTGGTGGTGAAGCTATCTATCCCACTTTCTTCTAGCTTAAGAAGAAGTAGGTTGTGGTCTACTTTGTCGAATGCATTGCTGAAGTCTAAGTATATTATGTCCACAGTATTTCACTGGTCTACTAATTTAGTCACTATGTTGAAGAATGAAATAAGATTTGTTTGGCATGATCTGTTTTTAACAAACCCGTGCAGGCTGCTAGTTATTACTTTACTCATTTCTAGATGTTGGTAGATCTGTTTTTTATTAACCTTTCCACTATCTTCCCAGGTATTGATGTTAGGCTGATTGGTCTGTAGTTTCCTGGGTATGTTTTTCCCCTTTTTTGAAGTTGGGACGCACATAAGCTCTTTTCCAGTCCTCTGGTAGTTCCCTGGTGTTCCAGTATTTTTGAAAGATATGGTGTAGTGGTTCTCAGATGACATCTGCCAACTCCTTTAAACTCTGGGATGTAATCCATCAGGTCCCGGTGATTTGTATTCATCAAGATCATATAGGTGTTCTCTTACTATTTTATAGCTTATTTTAACTTTTATTTCCAGTCTGTTTTTTACAGTTTTGTTTCTAGTAGGTTGGGCTAGTTTCTTTTTGCGTGAAGACTGATGTAAAGAATGAGTTAAGCAGCTCTGAATTCTGTTTCCTATTACTTCTTTGCCATCTTCTCTCTTTAGTGGACTGTTTCCTTGACTTTTTTCTTGTTATTTATATATTGGAATAAACTTTTTTTTATTATCTGACTTTTGTTGCAAGTCTTTGTTCATTCTGAGCCTTTGCTTTCTTGACTGCCTTTGCAGATTCTGGCTATCTGCTGATATCCTGCCTTAGTTATGTGTCCCTCTTTCCAGGAAGAGGGAGACCATGTGGCAGACCCATTGCTTGCTGAAGGAGATTAATGGATCGAATCATGATGGAGGACAGGGAGGATGGTGCAGAGTCCAGTGGAGGGGGAAGCAGGCCCAAAGCCTGTAGGGTCTCAGCAGGTGGGAAAGCAGGCCCAGGGCCTGCAGGGACCTATTGGTGCAGGAAGCTGAACATGGGTTGCCTCAAAGTAGGGGAGGTCCGGGGCAAACCAGGTAGGAGTTGGGGAGGTGCAGCAAAAATAATCATGAGTTTAAATCTGTGCTAGGCCTCCCAGGCTCATCCACCCGAGACACCCCATTCTTCACTTAACAATCCATGTGGCTGCTTAATGACTACAACAGAAAGAGCAGCGATTGGACTCCTAAGCAAGATGATCTCATGAATGCCTTGCTTAACGACCATCACAACTTGTGACTATAATGTGCAGGCTGCATTATAGTCATACGTTGAGGACTATGACTAACTACATTGTTTTCAGAGTTAAGCTCAAAGAGGATAAATCTAAGAGAATCTGATCAAAGAAGCATATGCAATTTGTTGGTAATTATTCAGTTTGTACAAATGTATGGTAAGATTTATCTAGAACAAATGGTTATTCTTATTTCTCAGAAAATAGAAAGCTCTTGTCCTTTGAGATCCTTAACATTACTGAGTGATGTGAAAGTTCTCAATCCCATTTCCAAATGCAGTTCAAGGATATTTTCCAGTTATTTCTTGCTTGCATTCTTCCCATAATATTCTTGGCAATAAGGTGGCCTGTTGTCAATTACATAATTAATATCTGTGGAGTCCTTGGTACTGCTGGATTTTTTTTTGTTTACAGAAATTTCATTATTCATAATCTCTGCAAGTAACTACTGTACAGGCAATGCTATTACCTATTTTCTGGCTCAAATGTTACTAAAAAGGAAATCATAAACTGAATATATATGCAAGTATTAATAATAAAATCTTTAATGTAGGAGTATGAGTCACATTTACTTTGGATAACGTTATGATACATTAATAGCAATAGCACTTAGACTTATATACTACCCCATAGTGCTTTACAGCATTCTCTGCACTCACAAATAACACATATTCACAACATGGCAAATCACGTTTTATTAAGAAAGATCTAAAGTAGCATGTATGCAAAATAGGAAACTGTTCCACTGGATATTCATAATCCATTGTGTATTTTCTCTCTGGTCATAAAACCTGGCCTTTCAGTTATACTGAAGAGTTTTGTGTAATGGTCAATGTAAATTTCCCAGTTTAACCCTCAGATGTTACTTATTTTTTTTTTGTATTGTTCTATTATTGTAGAAATCAGCTAAAGATGATATCTGGAGTATGACAACTTTTGAAGCCCATTATGAAGTATTTCTCTTTTCTTTGATAAGACAGTCTTATCAAAGGATTTGTCATTATTAAGTAAAGAGGGGACTTTTTACAATCTATGGTGGACATGTGATAAAGCCAAAAAAAAAATGGAGTATGTTTCCTATTTTAATACAGAAAATGTTGAAAATAGAAATAAAAATAAAACCAGGGGCTTTATG